TATTCTAATGTGTGTGTGTGTGTGTGTGTGTGTGTGTGTATACCACATCTTAAAATCAGGATTTGTCTCTAAGGAACCCAGGTCAAAATCACTCTCTCTCTTGTAGCTAGTCCTCATTATGTGCCAAAAGAGCCATTTATTATTTCATCAAAACCTTTTGAATTTAATGGTCACACAGGTACTATTGTTCAATTAACCACTCTTTCATTCATTGATTTATGGAATAAAATAGACATAATTTTGCAGACCACTATTATCTTGCTTATATATTGGAAACTGCTACTCATATTTTGAACACTTGAAGATGTTTTCCTCATCTGATTTAATTGGAAGTCATGAGAAACATATTGCTTCTTGACCACTATAAACATACTATTTAAAATGTCATATATAAATAATCACACTAACATTTGCAGAATTCTTAAAATAATTATCCAATGCTTATCGAAGGCATGATAGAAAATAGAGAAACATTCAAAAAATCTTTTGAAGTGATTTGAACAGAGAATTCTTAGCAGGTATTCAGCAAAATGCTGAATGAAGGTAAGATGTCTAACATTATTATAAATAAATGAATGAAGGGGTGTTCAGAATTCTCTGGAAAATATACTCCTTGAGTAGTCAAGAGATAGATAGGTTTCAAGTAGCTCCCTCAGACTTTTACTAGGTTCACTTAATACCAGGGGTTTCCAATGCTTCAACTATATTCAACATCATTCCCTGTCTCTTCTTTGACCCAGTCATTCATTTCCTGACTCATTCAACCAACAATATTGAATATCTCCCCTTTCTCACGCTGTGTATTAGCCATTTGTGTCTTAGGTCAAGGGGAAGAAGAGTGTACCCTTAGCAAAACACATTGTGCTTTATTATTCTGTATTATTTTAAGTCATGAACAGTAGAAAAGAGAGTAGTGACAGAAAGCAGAAAGTGTTGAGTGATAGAAAAAGCATAGATTTTAGAACTGTAAAATGAGTTTACATATGGCCCTTCCAATTAGTAGTTCTATGGCTTAGACAAATCACTTTAAATTTAGTTATAATGTCTATAAAGCTTCTAAAGTAGGAACTGGTATGTAATACCTCAATAAAAATAGCCATATTTATTTTATAAAATGGTAATCTTAGAATCAAATCTTAGTTGAACTTAAAAGATATTTGATATTTCTCAATTTTTAAAAAAAATTGTAAAAAATCAATTATATACTTCAATAATTTCAGGATTAATGATAACTGTCTGAAAGAAATAACTAGTTATCTGAAATAATTTAGATATTCCATTATATTGTTTATATTATCCTTAAATCTTAGAGCAAACATGAAAATGTTTGGTTCACTTGCAATTTTCTTTTTGCCATAGAAAAGCACATAATAGAAACCACAGGGCAATGTATGTGGCAAATTTTGGCTGGTAAAATAAGCAGGCATTTGATATACTATTATAAATGTGGTTACATGGAATGAGGCTTTCCCTCCAGAGGAACTGATTTTATTTTTTTTTAAAGTTCAGAAACAGTTAAAAATGAAGAAAAAAAAAGAATTACAACTTACCCCCCCACCACATCCACACACCTGCATAGCCTATGCCCTCACACAGATGCCAGGAAGATCTTTAGTTTCACAAGTGAGAAAAAAGAAGGATATGCTTATAAAATAATATATCAAAAATTATTTGTGAGTTTATCTCATTAAAGCTCCAAATTAGAAAGGAATGTACATATTAACTTAGATAGGTTCAATCTTTGCCAGCAAAGAGTTTATGAAATACGAACCATATTTCTTGCCACCCAATCTTACCCTCATGCCCTGAGTCACCAGAGCAAGGTCATTTCATAACTTGTGATTTTCAGTCTATTCTCAACTCCCTGTTTGTTATGAACACCCCCAAAACCCTGCAACTCCTTCATCCTCTGAAAACTCCTACTTATCCTAGAAAGCACAGGTTTAACAGTATTTAATGAAGACTTTCCTGAAATACTTCAGGAAGAGCTAATCATTTTACCCTTTCAATGATTATGTCTGTTATCTAGAATTAGAAGTATCACTTCTTTTCTGATACCTGAAAGCAAATCTGAATTCCAAAAGCTCCTCACTCAGCCTGGCATATAATACATGTTCAACAAATACTTCTTGAATGACTGACTTTGCTGATTCCTCCATAACAACTTTATAATTACTGCTGGACTTACATGCTAAATAGTAAGGAAACATGGTATAGCTCAAATAATGAAATTACTGTGGTTTAAATCTGATTCCTAAATAACTATGAATGTTAAAAGCCACAATTTTACATTTTTACAGCCTAGCTAAATAATGTCAAAGCTTCCCATCTAATTAAGCTCAAATATGGTAAATGCAATGAGAAGTTTAGAAAAGTTTGCTAACAAAGTGTCCACACTTCAGGCACAAAGAAAGTTCTGTTCTTGAGCACACCTTCAAGAGTATACTTGATTTGGGCCTCCCTGGTGGCACAACGGTTGAGCGCTGGGTTGCGAAGCTGCCCGCAGCCTCTGCAGCAGTGGTTTGATCCCCGGCTGCTCCCCAGCCACCGGCGGAGGGTCCCACATGGCGCTCAGACCTCTCCTGCCGCCGGCTGCTCCCCTCAGCAGTGTACTTCGGTCCTTCTGCCTGCTCTGCTCCTGGCTCTGCCTCTGGTGAATTCTCTCACCCTCCCACGCTTCTGACTATACCCAGTGCTTGTATGTATAAATAAATAAATAAATTTTTTTTTAAAAGAGTATATTTGATTTATTTACCATTCCAATCAAAAAATTAATGCACAGGGCCTCCCTGGTGGCACAGGGGTTTAAATCTCAGTGCTATCAAGCTATCACCAGCCACTGCAGCCTGAGTTCGATCCCTGGCCAAGGAGCTGGCCCACATGGCGCAGCAGATCTCTGCTGTTTCACCTGCTGCTCCCCTCAGCACTGCATTTCAGTAGATCCACCTGTTCTGCTCCCCACTCCATCTCTGGTGAATTCTCTCACCCCCTGTACCTCTGGCCTGTACCCCAGTTCTTTTATGCATAAATAAAAATAAATCTTTAAAAAATTAATGCACACTTAATATTTTTTTTCACATTATTTAGTGAAATTGTCCTTTTAAAAAAATCATCCACAATTCACTTTATGATATGAGAACAAATAGCAACAAAATACAAATGGTCTGGGCCTCCCTGGCAGCCTAAGGATTCAGTCTCAGCGCTGTCACCAGTAAGGCCTGAGTTCCATCCCAGGCCAGGAAGCTAACCCACATATGATGCAGCAGACCTCTCCTGTTTTGCCCACCACTCCCCTCAGCAGCATATTTCAGTAAAATCTGCCTGTTTTGCTTCCCACCCTGTCTCTGGTGAAGCCTCTCACCCACCGCACCTCTGGCATACACCCCAGTTCTTCTACAAAATAAATAAATAAATATTTAAAAAAAAACAAATGGCCCTTCCCTGGTACACATGCATGACCCACTTTTATGTAAAGCTGTAGTACCACAAAACAGTTTGAAAACAAAACCTAAAATTCTCTATTGCAGATCAATGGTTATGATCATATTCTACAATTAGATTGAAACTTAATGTGTATATTATGCAATTCATTAGGCTAATTTAGTAAACAGAAAAATTCATAGGTAATATAATAAAATCTATTATCCCATTAGAGTTCCTTTCAGATATTATAATGTTGTACATATTGTTGTAATATTGTATACAATGTATGTATTTTTTTCCAAAATACAAATCTAGAATGTTGTTTGAATTTCCTTAGTGACTTGAATGCCAAACCAAATATATTTATCTTAAATGTGTTTTCTAAAATGTATTTTTTATCTTAAATGAATATTGCAAAATTTTATATGTCCTGAGTCTATTTTCAAATTACAAATAACTCTCAAATAAGAAACTAAAGTATACATGATATACAGGATAGTAGAGACCCACTAAAATTTCAATTATTAAAAAATTTTTGTAAGTTTCAAATATATTATCAATAGGATTTTTCCCTTGGGAATGTAAATGAAACTTTTGTATGAATAAATGTTTCTAAAAGTTCTTATCATGTAGTTGTTTGCTTTCATTTAAAATTAAATAAACTATCCAAAGAAGCATGTATTACCAATTAAGTTAAATTCTCCTAAGATCTCATAAGTAAGGCACATGTTGACACAAACTGATATTTCTCCTTAAAGCAGATACCTTCCCAAGGACAAAAAAAAAACCTCTTAATTTCATAAAATAAATGCCTTGAAAAAAGAAAACAATTCTATATCCAAAGAAGCTTTTACTTTGTTATATATCTTGTTTAAATTAACTTTAAAAATTATTTGTTTAGACAAAACAAGTAGCAGAATGCATGTGTATATATAAACATACATTTCACTTACTGCCTATATTTTATAGAGGAATTGAAAACAACAAATTACATACTTAGTTGATGTTTTAATGAGAGAGCGGAAATAGATTTAAAGGGAAATATCATTTGTCATGTAAACAGACTGCCTAGCTCAATGTTCTAACGTGACTCCACTCATAATTAGCAATGCTAAGTAGCACTATGTGCAAAAGGGATTATAAAGGTCAATGAAATGCCTATTCAACAAAGCTAAATAGGTAGTGAACAACTCCTCAGAGCACTTAACATGCTGATGTCCATTCTAAATTTTGTCATATGTTATAATAGACAGAATTTTCCAGAACTACTTAATAATAAAATCTATTTGTTTTCCTTTTTGCAGGGAAGGGGAAGTTTGTCTGGACCACGGGCTAATAATATACCTGTGTGACTAACTGCACATAGATTTTGAAAAACCTTAACATCTTGCATATACATCTTATTTGGCTTTGTAGTAATAGTCAAGTATCTCAACCAAACTTTTTTCGCTTTTTGATGAAATGAACCCTTTATTCACTTTAGATTAGCTAGAAATTTACATTTCTCTTTTATATTTATGTCATTCCAACAGACATTTGCTCTCTAAATTGCCGCTTTCAGAGACAGAAGTACCAACCTGAATGCTTCAAGGTACTCAATATCTCCCATGGGGGGATTAAGACCACCTGTCCAGGCAATATTTATATTGTATCCTTCTCCAAGGCCTGTTCCAACCTAGGAAGAGAAAAACCACACCACAGTGGATAGAGGAGGGCACAGGGAAGAATGCAAGAAGAGAGGAAAACAGACACATGTGAGCTCTTGAAGTAAACATCAAACAACATGTCAAATCAGTCCAACCTTGCCTGACAACCAGGGCTCTGGGTTATGCACTTGTTCTGCACTGGTTCTGGGTCCCATGGGACAATTCAGTAATCTCGTGTAATTTAAAACACCAGCAAAGGACAAGAAAATTAGGGGTAATCATGCAATGCAATTACCTGAAAGATACAAATAAAAGTGGGACTCTAAAGAAATAAACCGAACCTCATTTGGGGCTCCACTGCCAGGGAAAAAGTTCCCTTCATCATAGCGATGGAGTGAAATATACAGGATGCTAGGGTCAGCATAAAATGCCTGTTGTGTACCGTTTCCATGGTGAACATCCTACAGGGAAAAGAAAACAGAGGACAAATACAGTCATGTCTAACTCTGTGTGAAGATAACTTTTCTGATTTCTAGGTCCCTGTCTTTCTACCCCACCCTCCTCATTTTTTCTCTTCTCACTATGATCCTCTTTTTTCTCCTGTTCTGCCTGCTTCCACACCACCCCCCTTTACTTCCTGAACTTTCAGGCAAATTACCCTTTAATGCACTCATTTTTTAAACTGGCTTCTAAAAATCAGGAAACCACAGCGAGCATGCCCTGGAGACTCCAGATGAGCAGTCATTGAGAAAGCCCAGTCCTTTGGTACAATTAGATATTTATACACCGGCCCTTTGTACTCTTTGCTTCAGTGATGGAATCTCGCATCCTGTTTTATGGAGGAATTTTATGACTTATTAACTGCCAACAGTTCATAACCCCTCAGGCTTAATTAACTAGCCTCATTGGCCTCTGAAGAAAGACTAATGTTTAAACTACAAACTAGTATTTTGCAGAAGAATCTATGGCTTACAGAGCATTTGCACAATTCTTGACAGAACACTAAACATACATGTATGCATTGATTTGCCAAGTCCCACCATTAAGGTCAAAGGCTTTGCAACCAGCTGAGTAAATTGGCTTTCTTGAAGCATTCAGTTCAGTTAGCAATACCTCAGTAGTTAGAATCACTTCAAAAGAGATGCCAGATGCAAAAAGGGCTTCATACTTTATTTTGGTAAAATCGTGATGGCAAGAGTCAAAAACACAGGAGCATGAGCTCATGAGTTATTAAATCATTTGGGCTAAAGCAGAAAGATGGCATGGGGCTTTGTGAAATCTTGTCCAAACTACCTAATTTTAATATTATAGTATGGCTCTCTTCCCAGCTTCCTCCTCTTTCTCTTTTTTCTTTCCCTACACCACACCCTTGTCCACACAAAAAAATGTCTGTCATTAAAATGAATGACAAAAAAGTCTTAAGGCATTTGTATAGATGATTCAAAGCTTAAGAGTGCTTTTGCTTTTAATTGGTTTATAATATAAACATATGCTTAAAGTGTTAAAAGAAATGGAAAGATAAATACTAATAGCATTTTTAAATGCCTTAGCTAAGATTTCAAGTGTTAAGATTCTCAATGACTGCTACCTAAAATCTTCAAAACAAAAATCAAATAGAGAATTCTTAAAAGTAAACAATATATATTTGTATTCAATGGAACATAGTTGCTACATAAGTAACATATGATTTCTGGTTCTGTTATAAAAATGTTTTGGTCACTTGAAACTATATACTACTTACACTGTACTTTAGTTTTTGTCAGTAAGAATCACATTATTTTCAACAATTCCTACAACTGTTGAATCAGGGACTGCACTAAAGACCTTACATAGACTAATATTATATGAAAAGGTATAATATATTATCCCTAATTTAACAGGTAAATAATTGAGACTCAGAAAGTTTCAGTAATTTACTAAGATACTATGGAAAATATGTCACAAGACTGGTATGGTTTCATTTCTTACACCAAAGGCCAAAAATGTAACCATTACACTATAAATTTACATTTAAATTCATTATTTCTTTGATACTTTTCAGAAAACCTGTTAGGTGATATTCAACCTTTAGCCCAGGACTCCTTTACTAGACACCACCAAAACCTCCCTTTGGTGTGTTCTGAAAGCCTGCACTGAGTTTGATATTTACAGTACATGCAAATACTAATTCTCTCTCCCTTTTTATAGTACACATACACAAGATCAATTCAGGAAACATGTACTAGTGGGGAAGATATGCATCATCTCAGAAAATTGTTCTGGCTAAATGCATACACACCAGGAAAAAAAATAGCTTACTGAAAATATATTAATTCCTGTATATTTGAAAGCTCAAAGGAAAGGAAGGAGGAGATAGCAAAACTATTTTTTCCTTTATGTGAACAAAAATGAAACACTTTCAGCCAGCTTGCTTTGAGATTGCTACTGGATACTTAGTGGGTGGACAAACAAAATACTTTGGAAAATAACAATAAAGGGATGTTTGCATTTCTATTACACAATAGAATTTTTAATCAACTTTGGAAGAAAAATTTTGCTCTGGGGCTAAATGCATCCACATTTAAAAACCAGAAAAGCATTGCCTTGATTATTTTTGTTTCTTTAGGTAAGTTGTAAAGTTTTATTAAAGTAGGTCAAATAAAAGATGATAATTTGTCTTAGGTACAAAATCATTTGTTTTTTTAAAAATAGGTTTGGTATTTCCTAAGTAAGAAAAATAAGTCTTGCCCACAATATAGTAAGATTTCAGCTGATTCATTAAATCACACAAATCCATTCTAAAAATACTTGGATAATTCTTGATTCCACAATCATATTCCCAAAGTATATGGAGATAAAGGTAAATGCAAATATGCTTTTTTTGGGGGCAACACTTACAATATAACCTTTAGATTTTATTTAGCTTTGCTACAAAATATTCAAACAAAATGCTCACTACTCAGGTATGTAAGTCAGTAAATAAGAATCTGAGGATTATTTCCCCACAGCAACAAATACATACTAGACTAATTTAAGAAATTACTGGTGATTGTGAAGAATTACCACGGAAATAAAATAAATTATCCAGTCTCTCAAAATAGGACCTGTACTTAAGGTCTTCTGGGCAATGCTGAAAAATCATTTCAATATTCTAACTTTAAAAGTTAAAAGTATAATACAAAAATTTATTCTACATAAGATTTAGAACCAACATATTTTCACTAAAATGTTAAAAATAGCTTTGATTAAATAATTTTTCTATCAGCTAATGTTATCACCCATAATTATTTAGTATAGGTACATGTGACAAATTTCTTTGGTCAATTTGCCCTATGTGACCCAAAATGTAATTGCTGAAAATCTAAGGACACTTGAAGTGATTTTTCTCTTACCAAGAAAGTTTTAAAAATGTTATTTTTTACTGAAAATCATATCACCTAAAAGGCAGATCCTACTTTCAGGACAGTTTCATGTCCTGTACCCAAAGGCCACACTCTTGCAATTTGAAAAGAAAGTGCACCTGTTCTCTCTGCTCACCAATCTGAACGTCCTTTGGAATCTTCTCTAGAAGGAGAACTGGAATGAATAAGCACCGCAGATCAACTAGAAACATTCCTGCCTAAAATACTCAACACCTCTGAATTTGGCTGTGTCCCCAAAGAGAGGGTGAATTAGAGCTCTGGCTCTCTATTTATTTGGCTTATAAAAAAGCTGAAACTTACTGCTAGACAATGGAGTAGCTCTTCCTTCTTTTGGTCCAATAATTTGTGGAGTTAGTTCACACCTATTCCCTAAAGTTAGTGACTATGAATATTCAGGAATGAAATTCTTTTGCAACTGAAGAACCTTCACCTCTTCATCTTTGCTAACTTGCAGAATAAATCTGTCAGCCAGGGAGAACTGTTGTCTCAGCACCACGTGGCACTTTAAAACTTCCTTCTCAGCAGCTGGAAGAAATGGGAATTTCCTCAAAGGATCCTTGCAGCTGCAGAATTTGGAAGACTTGAACGTAGGAATATGCAGGCTATTGGTGATCTCAGAGGCAACCCTTTGGACAGAACTTCATATATTTTGAGAATTTGAAACGAAAACTTCTCCTTTACTAGAGCCAACTGGGAAATCAGTATTTCTTTATGGCTGGATAATGGAGCAAATTATAATCAAAGACCAGTAAGCTTACAGGACACTCCTTGGAGCTACTAAGCAAATTATTTTATAAATCACATCATTATATCTCGAGCAGTCTTTTATTCTTTTATAATGTAAAAAAAAAAAAAAACTTCACATAAAAATCTTCTGAGGTACAAATTATCCCTTTATCATTAGCTAGGCATTTTAGCTTTAAGTCTATAATTCATTATATTGGAGTTTGGATATCACAAATGTGCTTTCAAAGGGGACTCAATGGTTACTGGTTATGTTCAAAGAACAATAAAATGGTAGCAGAGGAGATTCCCCAGAAGGTAATATTAAAAAATTCTGAAGGATAGGATGAACAATTTATCAATTTCCTTCCCACACAATTTTGATATATGTAGAAAGCTTAGAAAAAAATTTCCCATAATCCTTGGTCTTCATCTGCTCTCCTTTCCTCAAGTTTTGGGCTTATCTTTCTACCAGGAGTTATTGTGTTAGGGGTATATTAATTATTATTTTTTTAAATTTACTATCTTATAAATGATGAAATACAGTAACATTAATTATTTAAAATGTCACTTGGTATGTAGGTGAGAAAATAGGCACTCATATTTGTAAAATTTTAATACTTTGCCGCTATACTGTCTCTAGCCCTTCAACACAGTTCTTTAATGGTGCACTGTGACCTACATTGAAATTTAAGCATGTACGGAAAATACATGGTAAGTTGGGTTTCAATATTCTCAGCACCAACACACTTGCAAGAAGACTACAAAACAGTATGTGGAAAACAATCCATTCTTACCACGCACCAGAAATGGTTATCAGTTTTTCATTCCTTTTATCTTCATTTTAACCTAACTAAGTATTTCTTCACATGGCTTTGTTTGCACTCTCTCAACCCTTTGGTGTGCCTCCTTAACTGAATCAGAGGGTGGACGGTGAGGCCATGACTTCCCAATAAGATTTAATTATGAGTGCAGATATGAACAAGATTTAGACTATTAAGTCTTGCACTTCAAAAAAACCTTTAACATATTTTGCCTTTAAATCTTTTATCACCTGCAAAAATTAATTAAGTGCAGATGTAGCAGGTTCGTTTTGGATGCCAGGGTTCATTTCCTGTCTATGCTTTGTCAGACAACCTATTACACCTCCTCGTGAACTGGAGGCAAACCGAAAACGGGGCTCATAAATCACTAGTCAGCTTTCTTTCACCCTTTCCTGGGTTGGTCCTTTTGTAAGGAGCTGATCTCCAGCTCATTATTCATGAATATACTATAGACAACATGCCAAGTGTCATCTGCATTTAAACAAACCATTTGTTAAACAAATTATAACTCTATTGTGTAAGAATGCATCATGTTAAAATGCAAGACTAATCTAATGCCTGACTTTTAATCACTCATGGTTCCTGCCAGGAGTCATCCCAAACTGGCATACATGACCTGAGATCTTTTCAAAAAGAATGACATGCTGACTTGCTTTAATAATACCACTGTTGCACAACAAGCAACATGATTGCTAACCAGGGGAAGTAGCCAATTGGTTACCAAAGCAACAGCATTCTTTCCAGCACATCTGACTATTTAAAGTCTATATTCTGTAGGGAAAAGTAAATTCAGGTTCTGTTGGGTTATTTTAACTGTGGAAGTATCAATTCATTTAAGGATCATAAAAGTTGCCCTGATCTGCGCCTTCTTCTCATTAAATTGCAGTTAACACCATGAAAGTGAAACGTGAATGTTTATGGTTTCAGAACTGCAATCCTGAATTTAATGAGTTTCCCCATTCAAAGGAAATGCACCCTTTAGTTGTTTGCAAGTGTTAAAAGCAAGACAACCTAACAGAGAAATACAAATTTACTCCCTTTTATCTAGAGTCACTGACAATGCAGCTCTGGCCAGGAATACATACCAGATCTACAATCAATATCTTGCTTATATTTAGTTGGTCTCTCAAGTATTTGGCGGTAATTGCAACTGAATTAAAAAAGCAGAACCCCCTGCGGAATAGAGAAGAACAGAGAAATAAGAAAGCAAATCAGCCAGGAAAACCATTATAAATAATGTTCAGAGCATTTTTTAAAATGCTATATGATCTCTGAAGCCATAAATCTGCTTCTGGGAGTACCTCGCAAGATTTTTCAGTCCATCTGCTAACAATTAGAGGCTTCAGAGACATGTACGGGGCAGGTGACCGCCAGGAACCATGGCGCTTGGAGATGGGCAACAGTCCTGGTACTTACATGGCTGTGGATTCTTCAGCGTGATGGCCTGGGGGCCTCACAACAGCAAACCCATTCTGTAAGAACAAGATATGTTTTTCAGTGATCAGATATGGGGAATTGCTTGGATCTCTATGTACTAAAGAGAGTATCAAGAAAAAAAAGAGTGAAGTCCATTGGTGGTTTCAGAGCTTGTTTTCTTGTTCCTGTTAACATTTCATAAAATGAACAGAAACAATACCCTATGTCGCATTTTCACAGATGGTGTCTCAAAAAGAAGGTTCCCACTGAACTGGGGAAGAACAGGGATTTGGGAGTTGTATCTAGCTGGTAAACATACTTGTTAGCTATTATACTAGCATGATTCATTTTCAGTAACAACTTCTTATTTTATGGCACCACCATCTTACAGTGTGAGAAGAAATTATTGATGCAGGGTTGTGTCAAAGTTTGGAAAGACTAGGGAAGATCCAAAGTGAAACTGTTTAGCTGAAGTCGCTAAATGGTTATTTCCACTCCAATGCTAGCAAAATGATAGCTTTACTTCACATGCTGACATACACACAAAAGAAGCCCCAGAAAGGTGAAAAAGAGAACAATGGACATCCCATATTTCTTCCAGTCTATAAATTTAGTTTGGATGACTGCCAAGACTTGCAACTTTATTGGATTCCTTGAGTCAATTTCTAGCCCATGTTCTGGAATTTTATAAAGAATTCTAGGGCTGAGTAGCAATCAGATCTATCCATGATCAAGGAATGCCTTAACCTCCAGATTAATTGGAATGCATCACAGAAAGCTGAAGCAACTCCAGCATGAAGGCAGGGGACTATAAATCCTTGCAAAGCCAGCATGCTCAGAAAAGTTGGGTTGCTTGACCTAAAAAAAAAAAAAATTACTGATTTCTTGATGTGAAAAAAATCATACGGTTCACACCACTTTCACTTAACTATGATGTGACTTGACCTGCTCAAAGAGAATGTTTCTTTAATACATAATTCTAAAACTTTTGAAATAATTTTAATATACCCCACAGATGTTATTTTTTTCCACATCTTGCTACAAGCTAAATAATAATATGAAGAAAAATAATATAGTCTCCAGGGTTTTAAATATGCATAAAATTTTACCCTAATGTTATACCTATTAACACACAATGAATTGATTTGCTATATATACTGATGAACATTTACATGGTAATAATCTCAGAAGCAAATTAGGAGTCATAATGGTATCAATTATAATTCTAGGAATGACGACAAATATATTCTTTGTTTTTGTTCTTAAGGTACTTACTATCTCTCTGGAAATAAAGATTAATATGAAAGAAACCATTAATAAATAATATAATACAAAAGAAATTGAAATTTTAAGATTGTAGAGACAGTGAATATAGGACTTCTAAGAATGGAGAATTCAGTAACAATTGTGACAGGTGAAATATATTTTTTTAAGGGAAACAATAGTGAGAATGAAAATAACAAATATAATACAAGGCAATATTATTAGCATGCAATGGACATTCATAATTAGACTAACAATACTAAGGTTAGTCTGTTACTAAATTAAAAATATTTAGTTTCTTAGGTAAAGGCCATGACTAGATGGTAAAAGAAGAAAACATCCAAAGAGCAATAACTATTTTTTAAAAAATAAACTTAATTAGTATTCAAATAAAAGCAGGTGAAAAATCCCAACATGAAGCCATTTTTCTACCCAGGAAATTATGAATTTTAAAAACATTCTATGCTGACACTGGAGTTGTGCCTTACACTCACACATGCTTCTTGCAGGAAAATGGTCCACATGTCTCTAAACAGAATCTGTAAACATTAATATTGTTTAAGTGAACTCAGGAGGCTAAGGGTGCCCACTCTTACGTAAATCAGCAAACTACAGCACCAAATGTGCCTTGTGTCACCCATTGGAGGTGATGCTACTTCCCCTTTGATAGAAATGAGGGGGGAGTTCTCCAGAGGTTAAGTAGAGGGTTATTAACCTTGGATTGAGAAAAGTGCATATGGCTGTGCCAGGTATGTGCTTTCCAATCTGTACCTTCTTGTGTTATGTTTCCCTCAACACTATTTTTTGTTAGAATAACTGATTGTTTGTGTTTGAAGTCAACAAATCTATAAAAAAAATTCACCTTTTGAATTATTAATCTCCTTAAAGGATTTTTGCCCTAAAGGTGTTATTAACAGTGCAAGATAAGAATTTATGTAATGATAATTTTTATTTACAACAGAAGGAAAAAAAAGGGAATTGACTAAGATAATATTAGAAAAATGTTAAATGAATTATTATAAATATAAGCCCAAAATATTAGTTAAGGGAAGGAAAAATAATTTTCCTTCTACTTTTCTACGTTCTCGGTTGAAACACCTCTCTGTAATAAAAGACAAGTTGATAAGAGAAAAACAAAAGTTATGTAACAGCTGTACCTCCTATACACATGGGGGCAACCCAAGAAAACTGAGTAACTCCTTAAAATGGTTCTAGTCACCACCTTAAATGCCATCTGCAGCTTAAGACAAAGGAAGATGTTGGGGGCAGGGAACCTGTTGTGGGTGGTTTTCAAGCAAAAAACAGTTACTGAGGATATGGTAGTTATGCAGATGTAAGTCACTGCCTTCTCCCCTGAAGAGTGTCCAGTGATTCATTCATCTTCCACTTCCTGATAGAGAGGAAGACATTCCTTAAATATGGAGATTGCCCTTGTAAATGTAAATGTCTCTTTCAACTGGGTAAATTTTTCACAGTTTTCAGAGTTTTTTCTAAGTAGGCTACTCAAAATAATTTTTATACAAAAGAGTTCTATTTGGGGGTGGTACTTTCTTTTTTAGTATGATAATGCTATAAAAGGAGGCAGCCTTCATTAGACAATCAGGATGTTGTTATTATGATAAATGATTAGTGGAACAGACAAGACATCTGACACATATTTGACATTGTAATGATCTTGACTGATTAAGGTGTTACATGTATCTACATTTTAATGACCCTGATTGAAAGGTGGGGGACACTGAGATAGTGACATCAGTAATCTTCAGTTTAAAAGCAACCACTTTTTTTATAAGACACTAATAAATAGACATGCGAAAGTGAAAGACTGATAATAACCTGCCTGAGCAGAAAAAAAACACCTAAATCAAAATTAGCAGATAATATGCTTCTGGAAAGTGATGTAAGTGTTACACAGGCATCTATATGAATCAAAGGGTGGAGCATTCATTGCAGAGCACTGGGCACCATTTTTTCCAGCGCCCATTTACATACAGCACCTTGAACTATGAAGGGGACTTCCTGAGCAGGGGAACTACTGACAGGGGTGGAAATTTTGCTAGCCTTATCTGACTTAGCAAGGTTACTGAGATTCACCCAGTAGATGAATTCATTCATTCAACTTAGAAATCGATGACTTCCTTAATGGCTTCCTCCCCTGATCCTTTCTCCACCTCATTTTAATTCACAACAAATTCCTGTTGATTTTGCTGCTGCTAAATGTAACTCAAATACATGTACTTACATATATAGCCACTCTTTTAAAATGTGCCTTTTGAATTTCTGCCTTTCCATTATTCTCCTGTTATTATTATATTGATTTTGTTTTTTACACACACTTCATTCAGTAATCTGATTTCTCAATGTTCTGACTCCTCACTTTCAAAAGTTTGTTTTCTATTTACAGTCATTACAAGGATGTCATTACCACCAAAATCTCTTCTTCATAATATCCATGTCAAACATCCTACTCTCCCACTATCACATTTTCCAGTATGCCTCAACTACAACACATTAACCTTACTTAACTTTTGTTGTACATTATCCACCCATACCACTGTGTTCACTTCATTCCTAATCTAGCTTAAACTTCATAGTCCACCACTAGATTCACTTACTTGAATATACTTTAAGACACTTTGTGCTTTTTGCCCTTCAATATACTCCTCAGGTGTATTAGTCTGTTCAAACTACTAAAAACTGTATCACAGGCTGGGTGGCTTAAACAGACATTTCTTTTTCATAACTATGGTGACTGGTAGCTAATATTAAAGTCTGGCATGGGTTGGTTTGTGTGGAAATGGCCATCTTTTGCTTACAGTCTTCATATGGACTTTTTCTTTTCTTTTTTTTTCTTTTAATTTTTTTTTAAGATTTATTTATTTATTTATACAAGCACTGGGTACAGTCAGAAGCGCGGGAGGGTGAGAGAATTCACCAGAGCCAGAGCGGGGAGCAGAGCAGGCAGAAAGACCGAAGTACACTGCTAAGGAGAGCAGCGGGCGGCAGGAGAGGTCTGTGCGCCATGTGGGACCCTCCTCTGGTGGCCAGGGAGCAGCCGGGGATCGAACTGATGCTGCAGAGGCTGCAGGCAGCTTCACAACCCAGCGCTCAACCGCTGCACCACCAGGGAGGCCCATATGGACTTTTTTCTGAGTACACACACACAAGGAGAGAAAGAGATAGAGAAAGAGAGAGAGAGAGAGAGAGAGAGAGAGAGAGAGAGAGAGAGAACTCTGCTATCTCTTTCTCTTCAATAATGGTGCCAGTTCTATGGAATTAGGGATCCACCCTTATAACCTCATATAACATTTACGACGTCCTCACAGACCCTCTCTCCAACTATAGTTACATTGGGAGTTAGGGCTTCAAAATATAAATTTGGGGTGGGGGGAACACAAAAATTCAGTAATTAATATACATTAAGTCATGTTGTGCCTTTTTTCCTCTAACATACTCCCCTGGCAAATTTACAAACCTCAAGCAAATCTTCATTATGCGCAGCAATAATACTTAGTCAATTAACTTTCCAAGTCTCTCAGGTGAGTATTTCTAGCTTAATCTTTCTTAAAATCCCCATTAACCTCTTACACTCTTTACCTTTTGCTGATGATTTTGCTTCTTATTTCACTTAGAAAGTAGGAGCATTAGAATAAATTTTCTACATCTATCTTCATCACCCTTGAGCCTATCTAAGAGCAATTAATTCCCCTGCATTTTATATCCCCTTTACCTATTGAAAGTCACTTCCCTCTCTCAGGTACCATCAGTTATTTCTTCTGTTGGATTTTGCACT